GATAAAATGATTTAGATACAGCTGAAACTGTACCTAGTGTATGCAAGGTGTATCACCAACAATTTTTTCCTCGCTGATATTAAAGGAAAAGTCCGGTCATATTCAGAATTCAAACTTCTTAAAGTACTTTAATATAAAATTATTCCATCATGTTCAATAAATGATCAGTGTTTTAATTAAGAGTAATTTTCATTTAAATGTGCTTTACTGGAGGCATCCATGTTTGTTAAAGAACACTACTGCCACCTACTGGGAGGACTTCACCATTGAAATTCACCAGATCTATAGTTTAAATGTCAATGCCCACGTGCATGGTATGGAGGATAAAAAGTGCCAAAATTAAATAAATAAATACAGCATTAAATAAATAATTAAATGTGTAATTAATTAAATAAATAAGGAATTAAATATATGAATGTGTCATTAATTTAATAAAATACGTCTTCATTTTATTAAAAAATATATATATATAATTATTTCAGTGTGCATTTAATTATTTCATGGTCCTGTGTCGCAGTGCATCGAAACCAATAAAAGAATCTGTCAAACTCACCCATCAAAGTTAGGGGGCGGGGTTAACGCAAATCGAGTCTCTGTAATCGATTTGCTTGGCCTTAATGTGCGGGGTGACCAATCAGTTGTTAAATAACCGCCCCCTAACTTTGATGGGTGAGTTTGACAGATTCTTTTAATNATATATATATATATATATATATATATATATATATGTACACAAATAGGATAAAAACAGGGTTTAGCTAAGTAAAGCCATCTTTATTAAGCAAAATAAGATAGTAAATTACATTTTATTGGTACACGAAGAACAGAACCATGTCTCTTCTTGTGCAGGTGTAAGCTGCAGACCCACACAACTTACAGTTGAGTTTATCTCTGTAAGGCTTCTTCTCGTTTTTATTGTGGATGTCCATGTTGCTGAAGTTATCGTGCTGTCATCGCAGCTTTACTGTCAATACTTGAACTCAAATGAACTTAATTGCGATTAGGCAGGTACCCCCCAACATGGCGCCTCCTTGTGTCGAGGTCATGTGACTGCAAAAGACCCACAGTGCGTTGTGACAAAAACCAGATACAGCACTGGGACTTGATCAACAG